ATTTGTCAGGAGCTTCAAAATGATGTATCACAAGACCCCCCTTTCTATTTAAATTTATTTTCCAAGATGGCGCCCAGTCGCCATCTTGAAATTTTCGTCTGTCAATTTTACTCCAAAATATAGTAATCATGCATTAGTTTCATTATCCCAAATTTCAATTTTCTAAGTTGATCCGTTCAAAAAATAAAAGGGGGGGGGGACATTAAAGAAATGCACTGTATGTAAATGTGTAAGTCCTTAAGATACTTGACACGTTTTGTTAACAATAATAAATTGAAACAGTCGATTAATTTATTTGAGAATCGCGTAATATACTAAACAACTCGCCTTCTTTTCATTTAGGTAAACAAAAAAAGTAAATGAATATTTTTGTGAGCACTTAAAAAACGTCCGTGACGAGATGTCACCTCGCAAAGCGAGCCAATTAGTCCGGTTTTAATGCGTTTTATTCACAAAAAACGAAATTTACGCGAAAAACGGACATCTCTTTTGCAGGATAAACCGATTACAAATTATTGAGCATTCGAATAAACACAACTGATTAATTCGCGTCCGGTGTACATTGTTCATTAGGACAATTCGATTGTGTTTCCGATGACAAAATGTGTAGAGATAACGCGCTGAGCATTAGGAAGATTTTTAAATAATTGTTTATACCGATTTCGTTGACGATCGAAAATTGAATTTGGTATAAGCGAATTTCGAAACATTGAATTTTATAGACTGTTTGTGTGTACATTTTCTAATTTATCCAATATTTATCTTAAGCTCCTAAGTTACACAGGGTTGAATTCGGCAGGAAAATGAGGAAATAAACGAGTTTAAATGCTACTTAATTAAGAAATGTAAACATTAATTAGTTTATTAAACATTTAAGTTGAAAGTTTGGACGTTTCTGGAACAATTCATTGTAAATATTGCTTATCTATCGACGTACAAACCTTTCCACAATATTTTTCTTTAATATGTTAAGTGGTTGGGTTAGCTATATGTATTTTAATCGTTCAACCTACTCCTTACGTAAATACAATATCCAAGGAACACTCGAAGAAGTTCCTGTGATCACGTTTTTTGCCAAATGAAATTGAAATTTCCCCAATATAATCTTCTTACTTATCGCAAAACCCACTTTATAGATACGACAGAACGGCGAATAATTCCCGCAGGTTTATCTAATTTATTTCTTCCTATCGCAAATCGCTCCTTTCGCTCGATTTACGGCGAAAGCTCGCGAGCAATTAAAATATTATAATAACGATTAATAATTTTTTGCAGGTAAGATCCATCGCTGAATAAAATGGATCCGCACCTGCTTCGTCTAAATAGCGAGGTACATTCGAATCGGTAAGTTCGATTAATCATTTCCATCGACTCCTGGAGTTCCTGGTGAAAGGATTTCCTTTCATTACATCGGTTGTTGGGCGGAACTTTCCTGTTAATGCGAGGCGAGATTTAATTCGACAGCGGAGTTTGTTCGCGTAAAAAGTAATAGTTCAAAAGCGCGAATACTGGGAACTGTATGTGACATTTTATTCCGTTACTGTCGCCTCTCATAAACCCAAGTAGGAATGATTTTCTTCGCGAGGCGTTAGACCGGAAAATTTCTCGATGTTTTGCCTACGAAATTGGCGACTAGGATATATTAAAAGTGGATTTCGTTGGGCTAGGTTTTTAATAATATCCTGGACGAGTTCATGAAACGGTTTCTTTGGACAAAGTGAAGCGCCTCTAGCGAAAACTGTTAATAATCTAGCAGATTCGCGTTTAATTATTCTTCGGTAAATATACACTCTTGAAGTCGGATTTATTTGCCTTGTTTACTGGCGAAGTTATTTCGGTTTTGAGCGCCGGATGAATTCGCCCACTTTTAAAAATTCAATTTACTTTTTTTAAGATTTACGATGCATTTTATATACCTGCCTCATTAAATCGAAAACATAAACCGTTTTTAAAAGTTCCTCGGCGAGAGATTCGCTCGAGAGAGCCCCTCTGTTAATATAATATTGAAGCGTTAGCGCTTTAGAGAAACATTAAATTACACCGAACGAATTTTTCCTCGCGTAAACCGCGAATTATTCGAAATCTTTAACAACTAACCCGATTTAATAGCCGGCTGTTTCCACGTAAGTGTAATTTTTTCTGCAAATAACGGTAAAAAGGATCCTCAAAGGTCGGCAACGCCGCTTTACGGGGCGCTTTTGTCGTTTAAAACAACAATTCGGTGGATATTAAAGTACCATTGTCTCGCTATATCGCGAACAATAGCCTTAATCTTACCCTTCGAAACCTAAATGGGAGCCTCAACACCGATATTACCAGATTTTCGCTCCTTCCACTAGTCAATTAGGACATTAAGAAATTAAGTTGAGAGTAACCCCCGTCTGGTATTCAACAGGAATATGACGATTTTCGTTCGAGAATTGTTTGAATATGCTAAATAAACGAGCATTCGGTTTGTGCATTAAGTACAGTCGAGTATTACAGTTTTCGAAGAGGATTTGAAATGACCAAAATGAATTGAGAAAGTTGACTAATATATTTTTTATTACACGCGAAGGTTTGATACGAAATTCGTTAGATATGCCGATAAATTTTCTAATCGGGTATATCCTTTAATTAGCAAGTTTTTTCTGCTAAAAGCAAGAAGGAATTTATGAAAGGAAAATTAGCAATTTTCGAAGGAGCTGATTAAATTTACGCCTTTGAGGATGTGCGAGAAAAAAAGCGAATATTAAGTACGTGCTGTCTGACGGGGGTTAAAAATCATTAAAAACTTTTTAACGTTACGAAATTTACCTAACTTCGTTTTATTTACATTCTCATCAACATCTTTTCTTCGCATTAATTAAGAGCTGCACGTGTAAACAGGATTCTAAAGGACCACACGGGATTCCTCGCAAAAGAAGCCGGATATATCCTTAAAAAATTAAACTTTCAAATAGGCGTAATTTGCTTTCTGATATGCACATACATCAACACTGATCTGCTTTAAATTCAAAATATAGACGATAGATTTCGATCTCTAACGCACTTTCGAACACAAAAATATCTACCACTACAGCATCGTAGAAGATTATGATTCGCTTCGTAATGAAAATCAAAAATCAAAAACCACATTCTAGTATTCCAGTTACGCAAACGGCGCGAAAATACAACAACGAACAAACGGAGGATTTTTTTTATTCGGAATCCCAACTTTCCATTCCCGTTCGCTGTTATTAAGGGGTAAATATATATACAAAGGGCTCCGAATCGCCGTAGTGCAGCTGAAATTCTCCAGACGGATGCTCGTCGGACATCAAACGAATGAAGCGGATACGGTTGTGTAAGGTAGAAACGGGCTGGAAAGTTGCCACAAAGCAGACAACATTCTAGAATTTTCGATGATTATTCGACGGCGTAAAACTCGAAAAAATGCTTCGAATAATTGGATGGAAGGTGGATTATTAAACAAGTAATTTAATCAGAGTTAGGCATGATATTTGCGCTAAATTCCACGAGTGTAGTTGCTGAGGAATTGTCTGGATAACTCTTTTTTTGTGAAGAATTGACCGAATTTTTCTATTGAATATTTCTAGCTAAAATCACTCCTCGAAGACTAACCACTAAATTCCCAATTTTATGCCCTACTAGTATTTCCTACTACAACTCTTTTACTAATATCCTCATCAACGAGCTCACCAATTCAATTTTTCAACTCTTTTTGTGAAGAATTTCTAGCTAAAATCACTCCTCGAAGACTCTTATTAACCACTAAATTCCCAATTTAATGCCCCACTAGCATTTCCTACTACAACTCTTTTACCAATATCCTCATCAACGAGCTCACCAATTCAATTTTTTAACTTTTTTGTTAAGAATTTCAAGCTAAAATCACTCCTCGAAGACTCTTATTAACCACTAAATTCCCAATTTAATGCCCCACCAGCATTTCCTACTACAACTCTTTTACCAATATCCTCATCAACGAGCTCACCGATTCAATTTTTCAACACTCTACCGCAGAAACTCATCAAAATTCCACCATTTTACCATCGCCATGGGAATCAACTCAAATTATCAAAATTCCTCGCCCATGCAAACAATCCCTTATCGCCCCGCATCGACGCGAAATCCCCTTTTAAGTTTAATCAGCACCGACAGTCCATTACAGGGCCCAATTGGCCGGAGATGCGATGCGCCGGGACGCCAATATGTGCAACAAGTTTACGGTTATGGCGTCGCGACGCGATCCGCACCAGCGTCTGGAGTTATCGGCGATAAGCGTCGCCCTTTGATCCGGGGACTCCCGGATATATTGCCTTGTAAATTCGAAGGGAATTCGCGAATGCGAAGGAACTGAAAGGGGCAGAAGTTGCGGAGGATGTAAATGGGATCGTTAGAGGAGAGTTTGAGGAAATTATTAGAGACTGGATAGAGCTAGGTGAAGAGAAGGATTCTTTTGTGAGAATACAATAAATGCGCCAGTACAGTGATGCTTCAATTACGGGAGAAATTGATTTTGGAGGACTACAAGAGTTGGGAAATTGGGAACGTGGGTGAAGTTACTTAAATATCTAATTTTGGAGTGATAAAGGAAGATATAATGAGGCATTATTTTTTTGATTGCCAGTAAAGCGCGGCGAAAAATCGAAATATTGGCGAGAACAGGAAAGTTTCGAAATTGAAAGTTAGAGTATAAAGTTTCCTCTACAACGTTAATTATAAACAAAGTTTCTCAAACGAGAAATCGGAGTTTTGTTCTGTTGGAAAAATCCTCCAAATCGCGAAGATAACGGGCTATAACGAAACCGTAAAACATCGGAGAAGGAGTTTAATAAATAATTCCAATTGAATCCAATTTCGGGCGGTGAATCCCGCGCGATTTTCGACAAAAAATTAATTACACCTTGGTTTATTGACAGCCTGGTTTACTCGAGCTTTAATTTACGAGCCGCCCGGGCGAGCTTTAAAGCTCCGCGCGTTTGCACAACTCGCCAGACAAACAAAAACCACCATCAAACGTTTTCGAGGCTTTTATTGCAAATTTATATAATACATTTCTCGATAAGCATCAATTTCTGTTGCGCGCTAAGCGCATTAAAAAATTATTTAAGTAGTGAATTAAACACTAATTATAGATCACAGGACGTTAGTTTATACATCCGACAACACTTATCGCAATATTCCCTGCAATTCTCTAGCATTAACTAAAACTTTATAGGAATCTACTCCGCACAATGGCTGCCTTCTATAGCTATATCGTGATGGGTCAACACGTGCAAACCATCTTCACCAACCACCTCGGTATGCCCGATTTCCGTCTCCATATTACCGTCCAGATTATCTTCTAAATGTCCCTCCATCACCCCCAAATTCGTCGCCAGCGTTGCCAGATTGTTCCCCTCCAGATTCGCCTCGATATTGCTGGTCAAAGTAGTCAGATTCTCCTCCATGTTGGTGTCCAATTGGCTGAATTTTATGTACTCCGCGGGCCCCACGTGCAATCTCATGTGCTTCCGCAAACTCGCGTTCAACGAGAACGTTCTACCGCACACTAAACAATTGTAAGGCCGCTCGCCCGAGTGCGTTCGCAAATGCACCTAGAATTGATAATAGATTGATTATATTTTAGTCAAATTGTGTCAAATTGTCATTCCGGGCCTGCATTCAGTGTTGAATACAGTCACTGTCAATGTCCTGTCAAAGTTTTAACATATTTGACAGTTGACTTTTTCTTTAGTTCTGTAAATAATAAGTTCTATGTTCGTTTTAATGTCGTTACCAGTAATGCACTTTTTGTACTTTCAATATAATAATAGTACCTTTAACTGTAAGGCCGCTCGCCCGAGTGCGTTCGCAAATGCACCTAGAATTGATAATAGATTGATTATATTTTAGTCAAATTGTGTCAAATTGTCATTCCGGGCCTGCATTCAGTGTTGAATACAGTCACTGTCAATGTCCTGTCAAACTTTCGACATATTTGACAGTTGACGTTTTCTTTAGTTCTGTAAATAATAAGTTCTATGTTCGTTTTAATGTCGTTAGCGGTAATGTACTTTATTATAATAATAGTACCTTTAAATGTGTCGTTTGACTGAACCGTTTGAGGCAAATGTTGCACTCGTGCCGTCGCTCGCCCAAATGCACCCTCATGTGTCTGGAGGCGCCGTTCGAATAGGGGAAACTCTTGCCGCATATCGTGCACAAAAACGGCGTTTTCTTCGATTTCTCGCCCGGCTTGGCGTTGTGGCTTCGTATGTGCTTGTGCTTCGACGACGATCTGAATACAATACGACATTGTGGCTGCGTAAGGACCGAGCAAAAGGCCTCTACAAATCGGTTTACCTTTGGAATGTTTTGCCGCAGATGTTACAGCTGTAGTTCCTCTCGCCCGTGTGGGACGCCATGTGCTCCCTCAGGTGATAGGCCTTCTTGAATTGCCTGTCGCACATGCTGCATACGAACGCTTTGATGCTGACGTTCGGACAGCTGAAATATTCGCGGAATTAGCTAAGTAATGGTCGTTGGGGAGGCGAGTTTACTTTTTTAGATGCTTCGTTAGTTTCCATTTCATAGGGAAATCTTTACCGCAGTGTTCGCAGTAGAACCGGTTATCGAAGAACTTCACCCTCTGCAATCGCTCGCAGGCGTGCTTCAACATGACAGAAGAGGACGGGAATACTTTGTGGCATTTCGAGCAGGTGAATTTCGCTAAACTTTCGCCGTCTTCCATGTCGGAGTAATCCGTATGGTTTGTATCTGAAATTGAGTACAAATTTAGATCTGTTTGGGCATCGTGGGAGTCTCACCGTCTTCGAACAGTCCGGCGGGTTCTTCGGGCTCGGTTTCCGGATCGATTTTGCTCCAGAATTCGAAGGCTTTCAGTATTTTGCTTTTGAATTCTAGGACTTTTTCTAAATCGTCGACGCAAGGCTGGCACACCACGTGGGATTCGTCGATATCCACGGGTTGGTTGAGGAGTTCTTGGATTTTGTTCATGTAGGATTTCTCCTCGGAGGCGCTGGTGTTGACTTGGATGAATTCCTTGCATTCGGGGCTCTCGTTTTTCAGGCAAATCAAGCACGTTCGAAATTGGATTTCTTGCGTGGCCTATCAATATATTTAACGTTTAGTGTACGAATTTTGAAAAATGTGGAGTTTTGTTACTTCTTCTAGTTCGTCTGCTTCGGATTTCACGAAGCCCACTTCGGGATGCCTTCGGTTTAAATGTTTCTTTAGATTCGAAGTAGAAGTTCGATAGCCTAGATCCTTTTTGCATATGTTACAAGAGGCTGTATAGACCGATTTCTTTTTAGTGAAATAATTCCAAATCTGCGACCGGGGCCTTTTGGTCGACTTTTTCTAATAATAAAACGTTATTAGGATATTTCTAAGCGACTTTTTCGATTGTAACTTACTTCTATGGATTTGTTATCGTTCGTTTCATCATCGGACGAGTTAGTTTTAATGTTCAATCCGATTAATACTTCGGAATGTTCCTGTTCCGGTTTGACTAATTCTATTTTTTCCGCCATCGATATTTGAGGGTGTTTCCTTTGAAAATGCTTCTTTAAGTTATTCGTGGTGCTTCTGTAGCAAAATTCCAGTTTGCACACGTTGCATAAAGCCACGTATTCGCTGCCGGGTTTCTCTAAAATCGAAAAAAAAAATTACCACAAACTATTTATTCGTACGAGTAGTGTAATTACCCGTAAAAACATTCCATATTTGCGACCTCCGTTTGTACCCGTTGGCGATTTTTAAATCAAAATTATCGTCGGGTTCCGGAGTGGGTCTAAATTCAGTCTCGTGTTCTTGGGTATTCCAAAAGTTATCATCTTCAGTATTAACCGCATTGTTTATCGGAGGATTCGGATTGTTTTCTATGTTTTCGATTTCTTCGTTTTTCAACGATTCGTAGCTGTTCGATAGCTGCTCCTGGTAATCATCTTCACATTCGAATTCCTGCAATAACCAATCAATATAATATATACAGAGTTTTTTAATATTAAATTCGTCGTACCTTTGAGGCCTTTCGACCGCTACCCAACACGATGAAATCGATCGTTTCCTCTTCGGACACCGGCTTCACCTCCACTTTGAACGATTCCACCCGGTTGTCGCTCTCCGACTGCCTTTCTATCACCACCTCCACCTCTTTGGGGCCGTCCTCGGCGCAATTCGGGCCCAAATTCACGCCGGGATGCTTCCGTTTGAGGTGCTTCAGCAAATTGGACGTGGTGGACCTGTAGGACAACTCCTGCGAGCAAATGGTGCACGTCGCTATGCAGTCCGCCTTGTGGGTTTCGGTGAATACAGTCCAAAGCGCCGATCTCTTCGGGTTGGACATTATTCATTCGAGAAATTCGATTGGTTTTATTGAAAACAACACAACACAACACTAGATTGACGTTTATGCGCTTGTGACGTTTGACAGTTCGTTAGCAGGGTTGTCAATACCAACTGTATGATGAGACTAGAACTGATCGAGTTTTCAGCCATTTGCACGAAACGGATTTTTGTGGCGTTGTTTGAGACAACGACGCGTCTCGACGAGTCCATCGATCGAAGGGAAATGGGGGAAGGGTGGTGTGAGCATGCGCATGGCTCTTCTTTTGTGCACTTTATGGTCGAAAAATATTTCATTAATCTTATATGAAGGATAAACAAGGAGAGTCATTGTATTGCAACTTTCTCACTCTAACCACTGTTTTTTTTAATAACCTTTCTTTGTTCAACTCATAGAATTAACCAATGAGATTTCTTGGAAGTACTTTTGAGATGTTAAAATAATATTTGAAGCTACCTTTAGAGGCAAAAAAAGGATTTTCCATGTCGAAAGGATTTAATAGATACAATTTGACATTGCTGGGGAGGCACTTCAACGGTGATTCCGACCCTTCGGGTTATTAATGCAGCTTATGCAGCCATTTTTAAGCTGATTTTGAACCAGATTTATCTCCATGGAATCGTCAATATTTGGAGATTACGAGCCGAATGTGGAAATCGTAAAACCCACGTTAAACCACTCGAACGATTCTAATGGAATCTTTTTTCTTTCTGCTGTACAATTCCATCAAAAAATAGCACTTTCCAATCAATTTATTACAACTATTAGGTACTATACATCTTGCTCCATTTCCGATTGCAACATGGTCATTTCTATGAGTGGAACAAAGAAAGATGATTAAAATGACAGCTGTCAAAGTGATAAGTTGCAATGACACAAATGTCACTCTTTCCTTTTCCTTTCTAAGTGTCTAATGGAAGTTGTCTTTATCGCACCCATGGCCTATATAACTTATGTTGCGATCAAACATGGAGCAACTTGTATATAGATGCAAAATTGCAACACTTCACTTCTCTAATCCTCCAACGATACAATGTGAATACCTTTCGTAATATATTCCCCAAACGCCATCCAGCACGAGCAGCAGATACTTTAAATCCCGAAACCGCAGTATTTCATTTCGCCCAACTCGCCGAAAGTTATAACAATAAGTCCTCCTCGTTCGTGTAGTTCGCATCTAAAGCAGTTATATTAACCCCTCGCTTGGCATTCATAGATGAGAAACTACAAGCGCAAAGTGGCTTATTACCACATAATCACACACGTACGCTTGATTACCTGCGATATATGGAAGCTCAAATTCATCCTATTGTCGCAGGAACTAATACAGTTTATTTGATTTAATGGGGTTTCTATTTAACGAGTTGGAGTATCTAGGAGTTGTTATGCAATGTATATTTATGTTGTATTATTTGAAACAAATTAATTCATGAATTTCAATTAGAAGTAGTTGGAAAGTTCCGTGGGTTATTTATAGTTTTATATTGCTCTTGGGCGCCGGGAGATATCGCTATCACGGTGGTATCACCGGCTAATTGCTTCTTATTGCGGAATTGTATGAGAAAAAAAACCCAAAAAAAAATCGAAACGAAAAATTGGATGTACTTACCCGGACCGAAAATAGATAGGCTGCGCTAAAATTAGCGAATTTTTATTTGTTGAATTCGGATGTGTAATAAAAATAAATATTGGTTATCGGTGCCGGTCGATTTGGATTTATCGAAATATTAAAATTGTGTAACAGTAAAAAACTGAATTGTATAGAGGCAAAATATTATAAAAAGGGATGAACATTAATGAATATTTTATTGCGCTGCTTAATAATTTAGTGTGTCTAATAGATTTTTTTTTGAATTTCGTGAATAATAAAACGTGAACAATTAAAGGTAAATTGTTTATTTCTCTTAATAACGGTAGAAAGATAAATGTTAATTAGCACAGATTAATGTAATAAAAAATATTTGTCATCAGTCGAATTACTATGTAAAATTGCCATCATAAAATGTATTAATTTCTACAGAGGAAATGTATTTTTTCAAGAAATTTATATTTTAGATCCTCAATTAATATTTTATTTTACATACAGTGAGATAGAAATAACTGGCCTCTTGCGCAACTTTTACAAGATAATTATTAAACTTTGACGTCTTCAATTATTCCTGCCACACTGTATACAAAGTTGCTAACTTTTCTAATAATACTTCGAACGCAAGTCCCCAAAACCTTTCATAATTACCCGATAACCTTCGACTTTTTTAAATTCCATTTCATTAGTTCATTATCAATCTTATCGTACGTTACAACAAAACCCTGTAAATCTCTATCAGTCGACACAATCATTGTCGCTATTGAAACAATAATAAACCCGTAGACTCGCATATATTTACATAAATTCCACTGTTATTTCACATATTATTATGAAAGACCGTTCCTCAAAATCGTCCGACTGAACTTTTGAAATTATTGCAATATGATAGTTAAGTGACTAAAGGTTCGTTGGTCGTGCAGGTTGAATCATTGAATATTTTCCAATATACACAATAAAGGTAAGTTTTCCACCTATAACTAAGTGTAGCGATATTTGCTAAAGCTACAAAGCTTTTGTTGTTGAACGAGAAAATGATAATCCGGGCGAATGTTGGGCAGTAAAGTTGAATTATCAACCGGAGCTTTGGGATTTATAGCGGACATTTGTTAGATGCGAAACGGCTAAAAATTGATGATACCCCGGGAAATTTTTCTCTCCCTTCGGCGAAAATGCGAATTTATTTTTGAAACGAATAGCAGGGCTTAATAAACAAATTGCGTAATTTCGAGCAAAGGTCAACGAGTTGTTTCGAATAAGAGGAGAAGAAAAAAACGCCAGAAGAATTAGCGAATGGAAATTGAAGCGGGTATTCGTTCGATTTAATTTATTTTTTACTTTCGTTCGGATGTGAAAAATCGTAGAATTGATGTGATTAGGTAATTGATTTTAAAACTTTGTGAAAAAATGTTTACTACAGGTGTCTTTTACAGCGAATATTCTTAATTTCCAAGTGTATCTCTCGAGAAATAATTAATTTTTCCTAACATCCGACTTCTTAATTATCCCTAACGAGATTTTCAAAAGGCGTTGATTTTATTCAAAAATGTCACGAACGAGACTCTTCTTCCTCAATTTTTTATTTCATAAATTCTTATCGAATTTGCACGAAAATTCGTATAATTTTCATCGCATTTAAAAGTTACATAAATATTTTATGTGTTTGTAGAAACTTAATAAACTCGAATTCACAGACTGGTTTTTATTACATGTTAATTCAATTTTAAGGAAGTTGGCTTTTACATCACAAATTGTGAAATTTTAAACTACTTAAGGAAAATCCCATCGCAATGATTCCCAGAAACGAATTTATTATATTAATTAATTTACAAGAAGATATTGATCATTCCAGAACCGTATGCACAATCGTTAATTATTTATTTCCCATTTGATAGCATTTATTAATTTAGTGTTTACTGACCATTGCGAATCTTTTTATTGTGAGTATACATTTATATTAATAATCCTAGTCTTCACTTTTAATTTCAATGCCAGATAAAACTTGTTACTGAAATAGTTCCCGATAAGTCAAGTAAATAATTTAATTATAACCTTTATGAAGAAACAACCGTAGGTATTACAACATTTCGCAGCTCTTTTCGAGCGATATGAAGGTAATTTTGCTAAATTTTACAATACATATCAATTATTTTGAGAAATCCCTGTGTTGTTTTTAACATAAAAAATATACAAGATTGCTTCACAAAATCCCTCATAAATTTAAAATACCTTCATACCTGAACCGTTAAATTTAGAGATCAACCGAAATAATACAGCGTAAAATATACAGAGCTTTGAGGAAATTGTTTTTTTTTATTCTCCATGTCGACTCACGTGAGGACTCGCAATCTATTTTCCTAACAAAAAGTGCTGTAAAAAAGGTTTCTTAAACATCTCTCAAATGAGACTTTGTCTCATCCCTTCCAGCACGTCCTGGAGAAACTTCTCCATGCATTAACCCATTTAATATAGTATCTAAATTGATAATCAATTTTCCTAACAAAAAAGTATTATAGAAAAGGTTTCTTAAACATCTCTCGAATGAGACTTTGTCTCATCCATTCCAGCACTTCCTGGAGAAGCTTCTCCATGTATTAACCTGAGGACTTCCAGCACTTCCTGGGGAAGCTTCTCCATGCATTAACCTGATGACTCGCAATCCATTTTCCTAACAAAAACTGCTGTAGAAAAGGTTTCTTAAACACCTCTCAAATGAGACTTGTCTCAACCCTTCCAGCACATCCTGGAGAAGCTTTAACCCATTCAATACAGTATCTAAATTAACATATTCGTTTGAATTTGCAGAACCAGCACGATGCGAGCCCCATTGTACCTAGTTTGCGCTACCCTCGTCGTGGGGATCCGCTGCGAGGAGACCTCCGCTGGAGGCGGATACTTCAACAATCGAGGCCAACTGGAGCCCATCAACATGGCGGCCGACCAAGAGACCATCTCCTACCTTCTGCCCAAACTGGCGGCCAAATACCGGCCGGACAGCGACTGGACCGGCGTCACGGATCCCAGATTCTATCTGCTCACCGAAATGGACTCCAACGAGTACGATAACCAGGTGAGAATCGCCCGGAAAATCCGCCGAAAAAATTCGTAAACAGATAGATTGGATTGATAGATCACGTAAACGCATATATAAAGTGCAATATTCTCTCCGATGTGATTACTGAAGTTCGCGAAACGATCCGAAAGATTGTTGACGCGAAAATTTGTAAATATTTACTCGTTTGGTTCTGTTTACTTTATTATCGTAAGCGATAAAGCGTAAAAAGCATAAAAAGATCAGAAATATTAGTTTGTGAATTCATACTATTAGTGATTGTTTTAAGGAAGCTGTAAGTACTATTCCTTTATCATAAAATTCCACATTATCAAACAAATACAGCATGTTAAATGCACACACACTAATATTTCTTATCACCACACTTCAAACACACAGTAAACAAATAATTAGCATTAGTAGAGTAATAAAACAACACTCCAAAATC